GAGAGAGAGAGAGAGAGAGAGAGAGAGAGAGAGAGAGAGAGAGAGAGTTAAGATCTACAGTCAGCCTATCTGCTTCCCAGACCTGAGTATTTGTTTGTTTGTTTTTAGGACAAGATCCTTGATTTAAAGTAAACAAAGGGCTGAAGAAAGGGCTCAGTAGGTACGAGCACTGGCTTCTCTTCCAGAAGAACTGGGTTCAATTCCCAGCACCCACATAGAGGCTCCCTCACAACTGTTCCTAACCCCAGATCCAGGAATCTAATGCCCTCTTTAGGCCTCCATGGGCACTAGGCACACACATGATACACAGATGCAAATACAGGCAAAATAGCCACACACGTAAAATAAATAGGTAGATTTTAAAAATATGATAAAGACCAAGTTGAGCTAGTGTTGCCTCTAATTTGTGTTGTCTTTTTTTTCAAAGTTCCAGTCAGCTCAATAACATACCAATGCCAGGGCACAGGGAGTGGCCTGGGAACTGTGAGGCAGTCAATCTTTGGGAAAGTTTAGCATCAAAGGAAATTGTCTTGTGTCTTCTCTTAGAACACTTCACACTTCATTGGGAAGCAATAAAAACAATTACCAGGTCATTAGTAAAGGTTATTCTTTTTCTGAAGATCCAAAATCACCTCCCCAGAGTGACCTTCTCAGTGTTTCAGCAGCAGTTTTGACCAGCAAAGGAGGAGGGCTTTGGGGTAGGAACCAAAGGACCTTATGTGAGGCAAAGGGACTTTCCTATTTCTGAGCCTCGGTTTCTCCAAATCTAGAGGGAAGCTGAAAGTTCCTGCCTGTCTCATTGGCTGTGAGTGACTGAGAGATAGCAGCCTGGATATAAATCCCAGCATGCAGAAAATGCAGCATAAATACACCAGTGGCTTTCTAGACCTGGTCCACTCCCTGTGTGAAAGGAGATCGCAGGAAAGATGGAAGTGGCCCTGTCCATCAGGATGGGCCGCGTGGCGCTCAATAACAGTTGGAAGCCTCAGTTGTTAAGCAGACAAGTTTGCTTCTTAATCAATGGCCCACACCTACCATGGGCTGACTAGTGAGCTCTGTGGACCACAGTCACCTGGAAACTCATGTTGATAGAAACTCTGTGGAAGCAAGAATTTACAAAAGTCTTTATTATAGGGATTTTACGGTAAATACAGACTCAGGAATACAGGACAAGATGGCAGCTGCCATGGGTCCAGATGCCATGTCCTGCCGTTCTGCCCAGGACGAGCAACCTGAAGGATTGCTTCTGTTCAGACCTCCCAAAATGGGTAAGAGCGACCTGTCCTCTTCCTTATAAGAGATCACATTGGCACACAGAAGCCACGCCCTAAGGTTGGTACCCCAAAACTATTGGTGGAATGAATTCTCACAACACTGTCTTGATCCCAACTTGATCACAGAAGAGGAAAAGAGTAAACCACACACCTGTGCTAGCGTTTGTGTTTGACCTGGAAGCAAGGCAAACACTTCCGCTTTTATTCTATCCGCCACGGCAAGCTGTATTGCCACACCTGAGACCAATAGGGTGCCCGTGGGGTTTCCCACCATCCCATCAAAGGAAAGGGCTGAGGCTTAAGAACCTGGTTCCAACCAAATGTCACACGTCATAAACCAAAGGCCTGCCGAGCAAGTATTCCGGTTCAATGTCACACCCATCTGGATTATCTTCTCTAACCAAGGTTTTCTCTTAAACAATTGATTCTTTAACCAGTCATTGAGTTGTGGGCTTTCGGGGCAGTACACCCTGTCCCCAGCTCAGCAAGCATGGCCTAACACCTGCCTGAGGTTTCCCTTCTAGAAGGCAGACAGATAGCCAGCACAGCACATCAACTGTCATTTCAAGGCAGAAGTGCAAGCCTCTTCTTGCACTTTCGGTCAGAAAAAGCTCTCTCAGCAAGGGATGGCTGTGAATTCAAGAGACTCGTGGCTGGCTACCCAAGGTCAGAGAATAAGCCACAGCCAGGGGCCCGGAGCTAAACATGACATCCAGACCACTCCCTCTCGGGCTCGATAAGCACAAGGGAAAGAAGTGTGGGAAGGGTGGGAGGCAGGGTGAAGGGTTGTGAAATGTCGGCCTCTAGCACAACCATTAACCCACAGCGCCGTTACCTGCCCTGGGCCCACAAAAGACCGGCCCCGTCAACCATCACTCAAGGAAGAGGGAGGCCCCCAGAGCCACATCCTTTAGCTCTGAACTGCATTGTCTTCAGTTGTGTTCCCACTGCTGAGGCCACTGAGCTCCAGAAGATAGCTCTAAACGCAGGGTGCTACACAGTGCTGCTTAATTTCAGTGGATTGCAAATCAAAATGAATAGTCAGGAATGAGAGAGAGAGAGAGAGAGTTGTAAGGCGTAGAGTGGGTGTGATGAGGGTAGTGGGAAGGTGGTGGGTGAGAGTAGCCTTATGCATTATGTACAATGTGCAAAATTATCTAAAAGTAGATTTAATTAATAAAAAGCAAAAAAAAATAAAATAAAATTCCATGAAAAAAAATGCAGGAAGGATGACTAGAAGCCAAAGGCTGAGAATGGTGGCAAGAATGAAATGTTTGAGGTGCGTGCCTCTAATGTGGAATGATATTTTCCCAAATTTTTGTATCATTCTCCACCACCTCCCTGCCTCGCCCTCTTGGTGCTGTCTGGGAAGCAGCGTGGCTGCCTCCGAACAGCGGCGACAGTAGTATAGCCTCCACAGACACAGAAACTGTCATGGACCTCTACCCAACGCCACCTCGACGAGCCCCCTCTACCCAGTGGAGGCAGACCCTGGGATGCGACCAGATCTGCTGCTCCATGCTCACAGGAACAAAGATGAGAACAAGAAGTTTCAGGCAGGACAGGCAAGAGCAAGCACCTTCACCAGCACCAGGCTGAGCTCAGGCCTAAGCCTTCGTCTATATCTATATTGCTCTAGAACGTTCCATGTATTCATCAACAACGTCTAGGTCACCGGTTAAGAGCAAAGACAGTCCTCAAAGAAGGCAGGTGGCCTGAGAAACAGGCCATCATTCATCTGCTAGCTGCTGCCCATCACCAGGCCACTCCAGGCCCACCTTCCTGGTCCCCCTTTCTCTGTCCTTTGAAGGAGACATTAGCTGGGGACCAAGCACTCAAACACACGAAACAGGATATTTTGCATTCGCCCATAAAGCCAGGTGACCTACAGGGTCTCACTCTATAGCCCTGGTTAGCTTATAGCTGACCTATGGCTCTCGAGGTTCCTCCTGAGCCTCTCTTTACACCTTCCGGCTAGAGTGACCATTGTCCCTTAGATCCTGCTCTACACTCTAATCTCAGTACGCAGGAGGCTGAAGGAGGAGCACTTCAAGTCCAAGGCCAATCTGGGCTCCAAACAACAACAACAACAGCAATAATAATAATATAATTAAAACCACTTGAATTGATAGACTTTTGCTGAAGCCACGAGCTATGGAGCGAGCCGTGACATCACATCAGAGCCGTCTGCCTCCTGCAACCGAATATCCCTGTCCCTTGCTTTAAAAATCTTCTCACCTCAAGGACAACGCTGGATGCCCCTCGCTATCTTCCCTTAAATACTCACCTTTTAGCAAAGTCTCCCCGGTACGCTCACCCCGACGCAGCCTCGTGCTCTGATGGACAAACTACACAGAGCCACCCTCCTATCCTTTCCTCTTGTTTCCTTAGTATCCTTCGATGAGGATGAGTCATAACTCAGTTCCCTTGTCCATGGAACACTGACAGAGGCCGGAGAAGGAAAACCCAGAATTCCAAAGCTGCACTGAATCCCATTTAAGAGTCGCCATAGAAAACGCTGCCACCCACAGTCTCCCGCCTTTCCGTCTCACCTGCTTTCCCTCCCGTTCTCTCCTGTGATAAGTGCAATCTAGATGCTGGTGTTCCCAGATGCCATTGCTGCTTGCTGAGTCCCCAGAAAGCCAGGGCAGAGATATTTTTCAAGAATCTGGCCGCTTTGATATTAACGGTGACTTGGGCCCAGTGGAGAGTGTTACCTCCTACCGCCAAACAGCAAAGATGCCTCCTGAGTTTCCAAAAATACCTCCATGCGGAAAAGTTTTCTGCCTCAGAGGAGAAGGGTGATGGGTCACAACAGCCACTGAGTAGCAGGCAGCAGGCATTAGTCACGCTGGAGGAAGTTGCAGATAAATTTTAAAGAGTCGTTGCAAACATGGGACCATATGGCGACCGGGGGCATTTTTGGTTTAGCAGACATATCTGGGGATCTTTGACGGAATAGCTGCATTGCCAACTCGTCAATTAATCAACCCTCCCAAGGTCACCAGGGACAGTGTGGATTGGACCTGGGCAATGGGAGCCTGGAGGTACAGGCTTTAATTAAAGGATTTGTGCAGTAATGGAACCCTCAAATCCTTGGAGCAATGTTGCATGAGCTGGGCCTTTCAATCCCTGGGTGCATTTTCCACGGCTGCAAGAGCATGGCAGATCTCCTAACCAAGCACTCCGAAGAAGGATGGTACTAACTGCATTAGAAACTCCTCCAAAGGCCGTGCCAATGGGAAATAAGGAATCAAGGACAGAGACTCCGCCCCTTAGGGAAAGAGATTCCTCTCCAAGGTTTTTTCACGACACCCCGGTAGAGTCAGAAGAATTGTTCCGTGGGGCCTCCTATGGTTAATAAATTCTGTCAACTTGACAGGGTCTAGAATCATCTAGGAAAATGGCCTCCTGGGCATGTCCGCGAGGGAGTTCTAGGTTGTGTTAACTGGGGTGGGAAGACCTACACTAATGGTGGGCCACGTCATTCCCTGGGCTGGAATCCTGGACAGGATGGAAAGGACAAGATGAGATGAACACCTACACTTGTCACTCTCTGCTACCTGATGGCAGAGACAATGTGACCAGCTGCCTCAAGTTCCAGCCACCATGATGAAACTGGTCCCCCATAATGAGCTGTGCCCTCAAACTGTGAGCCAGAGCCAACTCTTCCTTCTCTAGGTTGCCTTCGTCAGTGGTTGGTTGGAACTTGCCCCTCCTGAACAGTCTGAGAAGCCCCTTCCTGTCTCCCTAAACACTGCACACTCATAGAATCTCTCAACAAAGGGGAGGCACCAAAAATCCAGTTCCGTATTTTTGGTGACCATGGCACCTCCTCCCCGTAAGATTCCAGCAGCCCAAGTCCAGGCCTAAGCATAGAGCTTTGAACCATACTTGGGCACAAACCCAGCTTGTGGCAGACAAGTCATTACCCTGAGCTATTACCTGTATAATCTCCCTGCTTTCATTCGTGGGCACAGCTTCCCCAGCTGCGATCTCTGGGTCTGGAGAACCCACCCAGGAGCTGCTTTGCTCAAATACACCTGGCTTTCCTCTGGTTCACACTCCTGATCAACACAATTTGAATACTACACTTTCTGGAACCAATTTCTTCTTGCTGGATCCCCTGGAAGGCAGGACGGAGCTACTTCGCCCTCCTCTCTTGGCTGGAATGGTGTCTCAGGATTTCCGTGAGGTGACTGGTAGCTGAGAACAAACAGCTTGCAGTTTGTGAGCCCCTGGTAGGATTCTGTGCTAAGGCATTTTCTGACATGCTAATATTCTTGCAAGGCATCCATTGGATTTTGAAAAGGTCAGATCCCTACTTCTAGCCAAGTGCACACTCTTTGATCCCCCCCCCCCCAGCATCGCTGAGGACCCTTGAAGCCACCCTGATCAGACATCCCTCCAAAGCTTCACCCTGTCATTTAGAGTGCATAATAATGGCACAGACACAGCTTCCTCATTGCCCCAAGTATAAGCTACTGCTCAGAAACAAAGACCTGCCAGCCCCTGGCCATCGAAAGGAATGCACCTGGCTGCTAATCTCTATGTCTTTCATCAAGTCCTGTAACAGGAAGTTCAGAGCCTCCACGACAGGAAGTCTTTTCAAAAAAAAAAAAAAATCTGTGATTCGACTTTCAGACACCAACTTTTTATGGGGAACTGTTATAAGGTCATCTTTACATATTCCGAGAAACTGCTTTCCAATTCAAATTTATTGCTCCGTGTTTCTTATCAAAACAACTTGCAGGCTGGGTTACTCTGAGAGTTAGGAGATAAGCTAACAGTCTGTTCTCTCAATAGTCAGATATATCCAGACTCAGGTCGTAGTCTGCCCAGGCTGTCCTAACAGACGCCATTGACCTGCAGCTGGCACCACGGACATTTATTGTCTACTGTTCTGGAGTCTGGAATTCTGAAACTGGGATGCCAGCCTGGTCAGTTTCTGTCAAGGGCTCACAAGCCTGGCTTGCGGATGGCCACTTCCTCAGTGTGTCTTCAAGTGGCGGAGAGACAGCGAACACACAGTGTCTGTCTTGTGTAGACACTGGTGCTGCTGGACCAGGGTTTAGCCTCATGGCTTTTCTGATGTCATTATTTTTGTAGTGCTAGGATTTAGTACTTTTCTTTATCTCTGTGTGCCAGGCACAGTCTTGCTCTGTAATTTAAAGAAAGAGGGTGCATGAAACGTTCTGAGTTTGAACGGTTGATTTTAAGCTGGTAACTTTTGCCAATTAAAAAAAAAAAAAACCTACGCATCTCTCTACAGTTTCTCTTCCCCCATCTTATGCTAATGATGTTAACATTTGCATTCTTTATATTATATAAAAGACACGATAGCTATAGTTTTTATATTCTATCTTTAATTTTCATACTGCAGCTAGTCGTGATTTACATATATTCATTACAGTATTAGAGTACTCTGAATTTGACTATATTCTTAAATTTACAGTGATATTTATATTTCTATATGTTTTTGGGTGTTAAAAGACTCTTTTTGAAACTGAGTGTGATGGCACATACCTTTAATGCCAGCACTCTGGAGGCAGAGACAGGTAGATTTCTATGAGTTCAAAGCCAGCCTGGTCTACACAGAGAATTTTAGGCCAGCCCGGACTACATACTAAGCTGCCATCTCAAAAAATAAATATTTCCACTTTGGAGATGTTCTTTTTTTCTTTTGTAAATTGGGTACAGTGATGATAAGCTCCCCGTGAAGTTTTGATGAGAGCAGACAAAAAAGTCCACTCCCTTTAATAAATAATAATATAATAAATAATAAGAAGAAAATAACCAAACTAGAAAAGCCAAACAAGATGGAAATGATTTCCTTCATTTAGTTAAAACCACACACATGTGCACGCACATGCACACACACATGCGCATACACATGCCTGTGCACATGCACACACACACACACACACACACACACACACACACACACACAACCCTCCTCTAACCCTATCAGAAAGGGCTAAGACAACACTCTGGCCATAATGTCTCAACTTCCCTCCTGGAGTGAAAGAGAGAAGGCCAAAGAGGAATCTGCACCTCCATGATCAGCAGCACCAGGCAGTGTGTCCCTTCTTTTCCTGTAGGATTAGCAGCAGCCTGTGGAAGGTTAGACTTCCACCACCACCAGCTTGAAGAAGGTGAACCTCCCCATATTGCCTGGGATCCAGTCAAGAACTCCATAGAGTCAAGACTGCCATGCTCAGTAACTGGTATTAATACCACCCTCCTACCCAGGTATCACTCTGAATAGATTGCTTTATATAAATTAGAATAAGAATGTAAGAAAGGATATTCCAGGTGAAAGCTTCCCTATCCATGTGAAAGCTTCCCTATCCATGTGAAAGCTCTGATATCAAAATAAATCAGAAGAGGAGCCAGGCAGTGGTGGCACGTGTCTTTTATCCCAGCACTCAGGAGGCAGAGGCAGGTGGATCTCTGTGAGTTCAAAGCCAGCCTGGTCTACAGAGCGAGTTCCAGGGCAGCTAGGGCTGTTACACAGAGAAACCCTGTCTCAAAGAAAAAAAAAAAGAAAAAAGAAAAATAAAGACATCAAAAGAGGCGATGTGAGTGTCAGGTAAAATGTGTTTCAAACACTTGTCCCGGGAAAGAGGAGGACGTTATATGATAAAAGTGAAAACCCGGGCAGGCAAGATGGCTGCGGGGCATCTCACAAGCCTGAACTCCATCCCCAGGATCCACATGGTGGAAGGAGAGAGCAAACTCCTGCAAGTCGTTATCTGACTTTCACATGCACTTGTTTCACATGCACACATGTGTGTGCGTGCACAAGTACACACACAAGCACACCCCATACACAAATACACACCACATACACAAATACTCACACCACAAATGATACACTTATCACATACACACACACACACCACAAACACACCAAATAAATAAATGAAATTTAAAATATTTTTAGAAGTGCAAACCTGTTAAGTATTTAAAATTTCCAAATACGCCTTACCAAAACTCAAAACCTCAAAATAAGCTATACCACATTGGTTGACCTGGAAGTGTAACTAGTGTATCCACAGTTACAGTTGGAGATTTCAGCAATCTCTCACGGCAATTGGTAGGGGTCAGACACGGAGCTGGTAAGCTTCTAGAACTCCGCAGCTGTGTCAGGTCAAGGGCATGATAGGCGTCTCTGAAACATTTTACTCCCAGGCAGCAGAGGACCTGCTATTTTCTGTCACCCACAGAATACACCCCAAAGAAGGCCGATAAGCTGGGCTGTTACGAACAAACAGAATTCACACATTTCAAAGAACTGGAAACTATGCTGAGTGTGTTCTCTGGCCACAATGAAAATCAGTAACAGAAAAACAAAAAGAAAATCTTAAGCCACAAGTCTATTCCTGTGCAAAGGCTGCCCTAA